CATAGGGACGTCGGTATCTGACAAGGATTGGTTGACTGTTTTGTCTTCCGTCAATGTAGAGTTTAAAATATCCACTTGCCTCTGAGACAAAAAATTAATGTTATGGTTGACCTCGGTCATATGGGTGTCCCGAGAGGTCAAAGTAAGGGCAAGCTCATGGGCTTCTCGTTGATCTACGAATGAGTCCCCTCACCTTCTATCGTGGAGAATTTTAGCGCGTAGTGAAAAATGGAGATTGCAGCACGAAGTTTATAGAGTGCAGTTCGGCGGACAATGGCGTTATATTCATTCTGGATATCCATCACTTTAAATGTCTCCATGATGATCTTAGATTTTGGTCCAAACCCGCCAAACCGAACAAGAAGCTGGATTTCACCGATGGGGCATGAGACACTCCCGTTAAATCCTTGAATCTGGTCACTGCACGGTCTTATGTCAGAGGGGTCCAATCCCATCTTCTTAAAAGTTCTCAACATGAGAATGCTAGAATAGGCCCCCGTATCAACCATGATTCGGTGTACTGGAATTCCACCAATTGGAGCAGTGATTATAAGAGGGTCAGAATGTGGGTGAGCAAATAAGCTAGCGTCTTCGATGTTGAACGTAATAGGACAATGCCGAGCGTTGATCGTGTTTCGAAGGTCGATATTTAACACTCGTTTCCTGGCATTATGCGCCTCTCTGACATATGCTTTAGCTTGACGTCGGGAAGTGTCGAGTTGCTTAATATTTGTATTCACCCGAGGTATTAGGTCAAGGTGAGAAGACCTCGGTGACACACTGTATTTTAACTTCTTGTTCTCAAAAGGTGTTCCTTCAGACTTTTTTGAAGAAAAGGTGTATACCTCTTTACCTGCAGTTCGCATCTTCTTTGCATTGACACCTCAGTCGCGGCATCTTCATCATCAGAGGTGTCAATTGGCCTTCCTTTAATTCAGACGTTGGAACTTCTGAACTTCTGGAGTTGAGGTTTCCCGATTAGTCGAAGAAGGGCTGACAATAAACCGAGACATTCGTCTGTGTTATGTCTTGGTGATTTGTGGTACGCGCAATACCTCGATTTATCAAGTTTATGTTCATGAGTTCTGACAGGCTTTGGGTCAGGAATGATGTCCTTGCCTTTTAGTTCTTCAAAAATAGTAGACGCTCCAACCGAATAGACAGTCTGATATCCTGTTCTCACATTTTTGGCATATTGTTCTCGAGCAGCTCTCGATTCTGGAGTGTTGGCATTTTCTCTCGGATAACCTCGGAATTGAGCCTTTTTGGAATTCCCTGTGAAATTCTTTTTATTTTTCTTTCTCTCGGATTCCGAGTTTACCTCCTTGGTAGAAAAATCAAAGTTTGGTACCGACATGGATTCCTCGGCAATAATAAATTACTGAGCGCGTACAAGGAATTCTTGAAAAGTACTCGGTTTGTTCTGGCATAAAGTCCAACGAAATACTAAATTTGGTTTCAAACCGGCGGTAGCAGTCACCAGTAATGTCTCAGAATGACAAGGTTCCATATTTTGGATGCGTTCATTAAACCGAGATACGTAATCTTTAACACTCTCATCGTCTTTTTGGACAATATTAGTGATTGATTCTTTCGGGATCAAGCAAACCTGGGCGCTGATGAAATGAGATTGAAAAGCGGTCCTCAATTGTTGCCACTTCCATATCGAATGCGGGGGTAGTGTATAGTACCACTTTTGCGCACACGACCCCAGCGTAAGTGAGAACATCTGGCAATGTAGAGCATCTGACGCGCCATGCAGGTCCATCCATGACGTATAATGACCCAAATGAGCATCTGGATTCGAGGTCCCATCGTAGAGGCCAATTTGAGGAACTTTAATCTTGAAAGGGAGTACTTCCGCTGTAAGTTCAGGAGCCAAAGGAGAATCAGCTTCAACAACTACGTTACCTGAGGTGGAAAAATGCCGAGGTGATTCTTCTTGGGATTTTTGTCTGGCTTCCAATTCTGCCAATCTTTTGCGTAGAGCTTCCAATTCATCTGAACTTTGCCGGGTCACGCTATTTCTTTCAATCTATCGACGCAAATCTTCATGATCAACGGGCATCAGTGGATCGGGCTTGGGTATTATAGGGGCCCGGTTATGGTGGTCGGAATGACTCTCAACTGTCATTTCTTGATTTCTTTCAACTAATGGATCTGAAGTTCGAATCGTTGGTTGTTGGATGGTCAAACCCTTTCTTCCCGATGGGGTGAGTTATGACGTGGTGGGGACGTAGCATGTGACGTCATCACATGTGGAGCCGGATTTTGCGCCAAAGTGTTTGGCTGGGGTGCTACGGTTACAGGAAACGTGGACTGGGCATAGGTGGGAGCAGGTACGCCAGAGAGTGATTGTACCATGAGCGATGCGAAGCCTTTCACGAAATCCAGATTTTGAAATAAGTTCGCAAAATCCGGCATGGTTGGCGCTCGAATGGTTTGTCCAGCAGATTAGTTGGTATCATGACTGCGTCCGGGATGTGAAGGTCGTTCTTGTTCGGATTGCGACATGACTATAACGGAAACTAATGCTCCTTTGTGGTGTATGAGTCGACTGTTGCTTCAAAGGCGAAGATTAACCTCAAGAAATTTATGAGGCCCTTCCTCTAGCGCAAACTGTTGTTAAACGAGAATTAACAACGATAATTAAGTCGTAGTATCTCAGGATAATGGTGAAATCAAAAGATTGTCAAACATAAAAGACATCGGTTTAAGTTGTGAATGACGTTGGATTTTATTAGAATATTTGATGTTCATTATAAGGTTCTTGAGAATCAAAAAGTCCCCTTACAAATGGCTAAACCTGCTATTTATAGAGCGGTTGACCCACCATATGATGTAAGTGTGATCGCATTTAATGTAAAGTAGCTTTTCAAAGGCGGTCGCTCGCCAGGTGGATGTTGATCATGATGATTAGATGAGTCACCGCCGCCTTATCTTTTGAAAGTCAATTCTTAACGGACCTCGGTTAGCAAGGTTACGGCTGTCAAGAGACCTCGGTTGATATGGCATGATGATCGTGCTGTAATTTCATCTTCAAGGAATGACGTCGGTTTTCATTCTTGTCGCAGTCGAGGTGTCAATACCTAGCGATGGGGCGTCATCAGAGTGGGATTAATAATTCTTATACCTTAATTTCTTGATTATAGAAAATGATGTCAACAGTACTATATCTCACAATATCGGCCGAAAGAAATTAATTTATTTAGACATAATATATTTTCAAAATATCCTTTTATTTAACAAGTAACTATCTTTAAATTTATTATTGTTCATGTACGTCTTATCACTTGCAGATTTTTTGGCATATAAACGTTTATCATATAAATCTTTCAATTTAATTATGATATTTTGCAATTAAAACATAATTATCACTTTTTTATAAAATACAAAATATTTTAACCACCTATTCTTACTATTAATTGACAAAATATCTTTAAAATTAAGAGAGCTTTATGATTTGCTTTCATCCATTTTATGTACCATCTAACATGCAATTAGAAGATTTATATAAAAAAATAAATTAAAATATCTCTGAAATATCCGATCCGTACCAAATCGACCCATTAGAACCGAATCTCCGAACTGAACCGATAGCATTACTCGTATAAATAATATCTAAGGTTAAACACACAACATAACATTTCATTACTGAATATACAATATTCTCTCGTTTTTTCTATTTCAATTTACTCTTTGATATGCAAATCTTGTTTATTTTTATTTTTCCAATAATAATCACTTTGTTAGTCGTTTATTATTCTTGTATTTTTATTATACATAAGTCGACAATAAAATATAAATTATTTATTTCCTTTAATTGTACAAATATTAATATTTAAATACTCACACAGTACACGATATTTTACTAGTCTATAAATCTATATCTATATAATTGCTGGCAGAGCATTTAATAAAATCCTCAACATTTTCCCGTTCAAATGCATTTTCAACTTAATATGGTATGTTCTTATTACTTTATCAATATGGTAACATTTTTATATTTATTACTAATTGTTATTATATATTGTAGCATTTGCTTATTTGTTTATTATATATAGTAACGTCTTTCTTGATTTTTCAAAGTATTTTCATCCTTTATTTTTTTTGTAACCTCTATTAAAAAACAATAAAAATTGAAAAAACAATATTAAAATTCTTAACAAATTATAATAAAATTCTTATAATTTTTTTATTACATGAATACATATAATTTATAATATTTTATTTATAACGTTTGAAAAAATCCATAACTATTTGTTCATTAAATTTTTTTATCCGGTCACGTGCTTGTGTTGCCTGTATCACGTGCCTGCGGTCATCACTCCATTCTCATTCGCCGGCATCCCAACTCCCATTCTATATTTTGCTAATTAATCAAAAACAAAATATATTCCATTTGAGAAATTTCATTTCATTTTCACCCAAACTATGTTAAAATCTAATCTGTAAATTTTGTTTCACTCTGTATAAGTTCGTCTCTGAGTTCTTTCTCAGACATCGCTCTCCACACCTCTCACCTCGATCCGTAAATATTTAATCAGTAGCTCTATACCCCTCCGAGGAAAAGCTGAATTCCGAGGTATCTCAAGTTCATCTTCTAATTCTCCTGTCAATGTGATGTGATATTGTTTATCTTGATCTGTTTATTTGTTCGATGTTTGAAGGGATCTTTGTTTGTGATCTCCTAATTTTTATTTTTTTTTACAGTCAGATCGAATTCTGGTCGGAAAACGGTCGATTCTTCCTGCAACGACCGGAATCTCGGACTGTAGCACAGGTTTTAACATTTTAAATGATTCACTCTGCGTTTTTCTTGTCTTGTATATGCTTGATTTGGTAAAAAAAAGATGTCTTTTTCTCTTGTATCTACTCAAACATTTGTAGATTTGTGTAGGGTTGGACTGAATTGTGATTAGAAGCAAAAAAGGAGTGATCTTGTGTGGATCCGGTCCTTTTTGATCCATAATTTTCACATTTCCGATTAGGCCGAGCTGATGGCGACTCCAGGGGGACCTAGGCCGGGGAACTTCCCCCCCAATTACAACCCAAACGCACTCGCCAGCAATATGCAAAATCTGCAAATCAATCAAACGCCCGGTCAGCAGCAGCCGGGCGGTGGCCCCCGCCCTCTCAGCAGCGCACCTTTCGGTCAACAGCCCCTGCCATTTACCGGTGTCCGCCCAGGCCCGCCTCCACCTGGCGCATTCCCGAGGGGTCCCGCACCTCCTGGCGTCTCAACCCAACCCGCATTCCGTCCAAACACCATGACATCCACTAGGCCCACAGGCACGCCGCCACCTGTATCTCAGCCTCCTCCCCCAGTTGGGTTGAGGCCCCCACCACCTGGCGCATTCCCTCCATCTGTCGGTGGACCCACTGCTCCCTCACCTTTCAGGCCCGGCCCTCGCCCAGGGCCCTTTTCGTCCGCCCCTCCAACTTCAGGTCCCGCCACTTCACCCGTTTTGGGGGCTCCCAATGGGCCTCCTGCATTTGGCCCTGGGATATCACAGGGCGGGCCCCGGTTCCCACCTGCAATGGGCAGTACGCCAAGGCCATCGTCGGTGGGCCCTCCATCCCAGCCGCTTCAAATGCGTCCTAGCTATAGTGGTCTGCCTACCGGTGGATCGCCGTCTCCTGTGGGGCAACAATCGTCCCCATTCGCAGGCCCGCCTTCTGCTGTTGCGCAACAGGCTCCACCGTTTACAGGCTCGCCACAGAACATGCGGCCTCCTCCAGGATCCTCTGCGTTTTCTGCGCCCATTCCAGGTGGGCTGCAACCTTCGGGTGCACCGTACGGTATGCAGACGTGGCCATCACAGCCAAACCAGCAGGTATTTCTGTGATGTGATATTACCACTTTTCTTTTTGAAGTATTGGTCATGTGCAAGATTGGATTCTTATTGTTACATGGAAATGTATGTAGGTAGTTCCACCTCCTCCGATTCCTGGTGCTATGCAGCAGCAACCGATGTTTGGGATGCCGCCAGGTGGGCCTCCACCTCCTACTCAATCTATGGCTATGGGTCAAACTGGGCAATCAAAAATTGATCCTAACCAGATTCCTCGCCTTACTCCAAGTTTTGCTGTAATTTTGCACGAGACCCGTCAGGGCAATCAGGCAAACCCTCCTCCGGTAGTTACCCGTATTCTTGTGTTATTGTGTCGCTGTTTTTTTCGGGAGCCTATTATATTTTAGCTAAAGTCACGGTGCAAGTTTATTCTCTTGTTAAAAATTGTTTCACATATGACGTCAATTTTCAGATATTTTAGCTCTTTACCTTATTCTTTGTTTTATCTTTTCTTTACCAAGCCTGCAACAAGTGACTATATAGTAAAAGACACTGGGAATTGCAGTCCACGCTACATGAGGTGTACTATAAATCAGGTTAAGTATCCAATTGCATCAGTAACTACTTTTAGCAACTATTTTGTTGTTCTTCTTCTTTTTCTTCTCGTTTTTTTTTTTATTATTTGGTTTCATCATTTTTCTAAATATTATATTCTAGTTATTTATTACATTTTTGTGCTTGTAAATAACTATTGCTTTTTATATATTGTTAGATTCCATGTACTGTAGATCTTCTATCGACATCTGCAATGCAGTTGGCTTTATTGGTCCAGCCTTTAGCTCTTCCACATCCGTCTGAGGAACCCATCCATGTATGGAAGAATCGGTTTCCATTATTTTTTCTCTTTTTGACTTCTGGTTGAATAAATATTATGCACTTCTTTCTACAAGTTAATTTAGTTTGTTAGTCACACGACTTCGAAATTGAATGACATGTAATCCACACTCTTGCTATACCTTCATGTCATGTGCACATGAGATTTGTTAAACTGAACTGCACAACATGACTTATGTTATTATGTTCCTAGGTTGTTGATTTTGGCGAAAGTGGTCCCGTTCGGTGTTCTCGCTGCAAAGGCTACATAAACCCATTCGTAAAGTTCATTGACCAAGGAAGACGTTTCATTTGCAACTTGTGTGGTAAGAATACCCCTTACTGGTTCATTTTACATGATATAACGTATATGTCTCGTTATGGAGTTAGGAGAACATACACCATTGAGTTCAATATCCACAGTGTGCCCTTGTGTTTCTTTCTTTCTTTTTTTCCTCTTTGCAACAGCTAGAAACATACCAAAAAATAATTAAAAAATAAACTGCAAATCCATAATCCATAAATGTTCTACTCGGTCCTTTTGACTAGGATGTTGGGATAGTGGCATTTGTATCACATCTTTCTTGAATGCATTTCCTGGTCTTAACTGTTGGTCTATATAACTTCTGGTGTTATAAAATTATAATCCAACTTTTTTTTACATTTTATAACGCTTGTTTTTCCAGGATTTACGGATGAAACTCCACGCGACTATCACTGCAACTTAGGTCCTGATGGTCGGCGCAGAGACGCTGATGATAGACCTGAGCTATGCAGAGGAACAGTTGAATTTGTTGCTACTAAGGAATACATGGTGAGTGCTATAGGAGACCTAGTCTTGAATCCATCATACTCATGATTAGAGTTGAATGTTGTCAAAGAAAGGAGTCATTGTCTTCAGGAAATTAGAGTTTAATGTTGTCAAAAATAGTGCTCTACTCTGGGCCAGGGAGCACCTTCGGTTTGGCTCTCGCCGAAGCGAGACTTTATTAATTGTTGTTTGAGAACCCTCAGGATCAAGGATCCATAAGATCCAGCGTGTCTTAATATCTTTTTTGTGGATGCTAATTTTGAAAAATAAAAAAAAAAATAAAAAAGAAAAACACTTCCATGGTAAACGTGTATATATAATATGAGTCAGAATTTTATAATAATCATATGTTAAAAAGATTCATTAAATTTAGTCTGGGTCCTGTTACAAATTCCATAGTACCTTAGCAACCCTAGCATTGGGGCAAACTTCTGCATAACTTACAATTCTTGAGTTCGTGAAATTGTGCTGTGTGGGTGTGGGTATTGGACTGAGGGAGAGGAAAATCCCTCCTTTTTTTTTACCCTTTATTGTTGGATGAAATACATCTCTGTTTGTTCTTACATTTCTGATATGTATTATGTCTAATGTAAATGTTTCAGGTGCGTGATCCAATGCCCGCCGTATTTTTCTTTCTCATTGATGTATCCATGAATGCCGTACAAACTGGTGCAACTGCAGCAGCTTGCAGTGCGATCAACCAAGTTATAGCTGATCTTCCTGTAAGTTTGTGCACGGCTTTTATTACATCAACTTAGTGGTCTTTTTTTATGATCTCAATTACAGTACTATTTCTTTTCTTCGTCGCTGAATCACTTATGGTGTATTTAATCCAAATTAAGGAAATGCATCCCGAGAAAGAAAATAGAATCTGTAGCTTAGTGCTGGTATTTGTCTATGTTGAAATTTCCACTATAAGTTCTCTTTGGAGGTTTCGAAAACGTGACGTGATATGTATATTGCATTGGCGTAATTTTGTATTAACTATCAAGTACTAGATGTCTATAAGTTGTAGGATTTTAGACTCTCTACCGGTGGCTCTGGTAATAATCTCAATGAGTTTATTGCACATGAAATTTATTTTCCACTTAGTGCCGGGGACCACTGCTGAGTTCTTTGTTTTATTCTTTTCCTTGAAAAAGGGAGAAAAAAGGATATCAGGATAAAGGGAACTATTAACATGGATGAGTGACCTTTTACTTGCAGAAGGGGCCTCGAACAATGGTGGGCATTGCTACATTTGACTCGACCATCCACTTTTACAACCTAAAACGAGCTTCACAGCAGGTTCGTAGGGTAATATTAGCTTTTGGCGACACTGGTTTTGTCACAATAGCACTACACATTCCTTTCCATTCCTTTATTGATTTGATCTGTATTATTATCTGTGCAAAAGCCCCTAGGCTTTAGATATTGATCGCTTTTAGCAAAGTAATGTTGTACAAGTACTTGTTGCTGGGTGGTAACTTCTCTGTTTCATTTCAGCCGTTGATGCTTATAGTTCCTGATGTGCAAGATGTCTACACTCCTCTGGAAAGTGATGTTATTGTCCAAATTGATGAGGTTGGTTGTCTGTTTTTAGCTTGGTTCCTACGAGAGCAGCTTGTTGACTTTCTGCCCATATAAAACTTATTTTCTCAAATTTCTTATAATCTTTGTTTTCAATTATTTCTTTATTTCTTTCTTTCTTTATAATTTAAGTCCAGAGATTGATTAAAGAATCAGTTCCAGGGTCTTAGAGCATGTTTGTTTATAAGATTTTTCAAAAAAATTTCAACATTTTAACTCAACCATTTTTTTAACTCAACTTTAACTCCACACCACTATTATCAATATTATCAATATAATTAAATAATATCAATCAATCATTCATACACACCACATCAACCTTAATTCACTATTCATCTACTCACATAATTTTAACTAACCAACACATCACATCTCCTCTCTCCTACTTTTACATCAATTTAATTTTAATTATTTTATTTTAAATATTATTTTAATATATCCACTAACAACTAACCATACCACCTTTTTAAAATTAACCAAACCAAACAAAAAAATCCAAACAAACCCAAAATATTTCATAAACAAACATGCTCTTAATGTTTTATTCTATGTTTAATTTTTCCCCATGAAGAAAAATAACTCTCCTTTTGAATTGTAGTGCCGCCAGCATTTAGAGATACTGTTAGAAAGTATTCCTACAATGTTCGAGAGTAATAGAACTGCTGATTCAGCATGTTGTGCTGCAGTAAAGGTATGGGCATTATTTTTATTTATTTATTTTTTATCTTCTATGTGGATGCCTTCATGCGTATTGTTGCAGAGTCAGGCAGAATAACCAAATAGATGGGAAATGAAACTTAATGCTGTTTGTTTACCTTCTCCTAGAAACAACTTCCCCCAAAAACTTTTCCAACTCTTCTCCTAATCACTAACCAGACACCTTACATTTGCTAATGACCTTGATTATTATGTTTCAATCGATTTATCCCTAGATTACTTGACATTAATTTATTCTGATCCTCTTTTGTACTTTAGGCGGCTTTCTTGGCAATGAAAAGCACTGGTGGCAAACTGCTTGTCTTCCCATCAAGTAAGCTGACAAATACACAATTTTTGTTGTCTATGTAGGACACATTCACAAGCATGTAAACTACCTCTTCTTTCTTGTCATGTTAAACTACCTCTTCTTCTTGTCATGTTTTGGGCACAAAAGATTAGGATTGGCCTATATTGACTGCATATCTGTTACCTGTATAAATCATGTGTACACTTTGGCTTTCTGTGTATTTGCTACTTTCTAAGTTCTAACATCTTACTTAATGGAAATATTAGTTTTCCCTCTAGTACTATACTGATGAGTTATGAATTGCAGCATTGCCGTCAACTGGCATTGGATCCCTTTCTGCTAGAGAAGCGGAAGGCAGAAGCAACATATCAGCGGGAGATAAGGTATAAAATGTCGTATATAAGAGTCTTATAACCCGTACCGTTATTTGATTACTCTTCACTTACATTGTATACCTTTTGGATACAGTTTATTAAATAAAAAAATATCTTTCTATTTTGGGAGGGATGGACAGTGAATGTTGAGGTCTCCTTCAGTAGCCTTGATATTCTCGTTCATTGGCTTTTTTCTGCCTCCTCTCATGTGTGCAGATTTTATCATTCAACCTTTGAATCTAAATGGGACAATAGAGTGCAAACTAAACTTCCTTCTTTCCTCAAGTTGCTCAAAACGTGTATCATGTGTTATTGGGAATGCAGAGTAAAATACTAATGTGTATGTTATGTGAATATTTATTTGAGTTTTATCACCCACAGAAGTTCCATGTCCTAGCTTGTTTTTATTCTCTTTAATTGTGATTTGAATGTGGTTTCAATGACTTTAAAATGAAGGGGGATTCCAAAATTTGACCCTGTACGAATTATTTGTATAATGTATATTAGGTAGCTTATTAGGGTAATTAGATAGCTAGATTTCGATGTACTCCAATCAACCATTGCTGTAATGTGTAGGCAGTTTTTAATCCTGTTGTCATAATTAAACACCCATGAATTGTCTGTATAGATATTTGTATGCTCATCCATTATGTTCATTTCTGCTAGCTCTCTCCTTAGTTAGATGTGAGATTCGTTGATGTTAATTCATTAATAGAATTTGTATTCTGAGATCTTAATTCCAATTCTTGGGTTTCAGGAGGCTCACAAATTACTCCAACCGGCTGACAAGATTTTGAAAACTATGGCTATTGAGTTTGCGGAGTATCAGGTGACATTGAATTATCCCTTGGACCCCCAAACTCTTGATGCTGTTTTTGTTTATCCCCTGGTATTATTTTTATTGAATGGTCGTGTCATTATTTATTTTTTGACACTTACAGGTCTGTGTGGACTTGTTCATTACGACACAATCATATGTCGATATAGCTTCTCTCTCTGTAATACCAAGAACTACTGGAGGCCAGGTAAAATCAGGTTCTTAATCAGAGTATATAATGAGGTGGCAATATTATACATGGCAAAGTTATCGTCTATTTTCTATGACCATTTTGACTTAGAGCTTGACTTGGAAACTGTATATGATTTTTTTTTTCTTTAAATTGTTATATCAAGCTCTCAGTTTTACTGATTTTATTGTCCAGGTTTACTATTATTACCCTTTCTCTGCCCTTTCTGATTCTGCTAAGCTTTACAATGACCTCCGCTGGAATGTCACAAGGCCACAAGGATTTGAAGCTGTGATGCGTGTTAGATGCAGCCAGGTCACCTTCTTTTTGTGTACTTTTTTAGCTTCTTTTTTAGGAACTCACAAACTTGTAAAACGCTTGTTTGACCTGTGACTTTGACACTAATTTATCTCTTATGTTTTTCTTTTGTAGGGTATTCAAGTTCAGGAATATTCAGGAAACTTCTGTAGGCGCATACCAACTGATGTTGACTTACCTGCTGTATTTCCCCTCTCTCCCTCCCTCTCCCTCTCTCTGCACTCTCTCACTCACTCACTCACTATTACAAACAGTGTCTGGACCATTTTACTAGCATTTGACTTATTTCACTATTGATGTTTAGTGCTTTTATCTTCATTTTGATGTCAGTGCCGTATCATATTTGAACGTATGCTTAGATCAGCAAACAGCATTTGTCGTGTGTAAGGAATATATTCATTAGATCAGAAACATAATGTGTGATAGTTTTTGATTACGTCCAACAGAAAATAAGAATTTCAAATTTTCACTTAGAATTTTGTAGATTTGTCCTATTTTTTATTTTTTGCAAATTGAACATGATTGAACTCGTGTGTAGTATGGCATCATTCAAAAGATTGTGTTATTATATGGACATGTATGTATCTCAATGTTAACTGCTGGGGTAACTTGCTTACACTTCCTTTTTCCTCAGATTGATTGCGACAAAACAATAATGGTGACCCTGAAACATGACGACAAATTGCAGGAAAGTTCTGAGTGTTCTTTCCAGGTAACATTTACAATACTGCCTTACTTGAAAGTTACATCAAATTGCCCTCGTTGAAAATGTCTATATTTGACCAGGAAAGCCACATTTCTTCGGTGAAATTTTTTCCCCTTGTTCTTCTTGAAGACATTGTTTATATAATCAGCTTTAATGTTTACTTTTGTCTAGTGTGCCCTTTTGTACACCACCGTATATGGACAAAGAAGAATCCGTGTTTCGACATTGTCTCTGCCTTGCACCAACATGCTGAGTAACCTGTTCCGAGCGGCTGACTTAGATACCCAATTTGCTTGCATGCTGAAGCAAGGTACTATCTTGGGTGTTGTGTATTGAATTTGTGAAATTCAATATATCAAAGGGTGCACATATTGCTTTTTC